ACAGAAAACTTTTTTTTTTATATTTTGTTAAAAATTGCTTCCAAATGAGTTTACTGTAATCAATAACAGGAACCACAGTAAGCTCTGATGCCCACATGAGTCAGAATTGAATGTAGACATCACTGAACAATGTACACTGTGAACATTTCCGATGTGTTATTTCATATACCTGCAGGAGGGATAAGTATGTGATTATTTCTTGCACACCAGCCAACAGGTTGAAGATCATCAGATGCTGCATCACACCAGAAGTCTCCACTGCGATCATCATCGTAGCCATCATACCGTAACAGAAGCAGTGGTCCAGATGCCATGACAACTGTAGCTACCCAGTAGGTATCAGCCTCTAATGATGTACGATCCATGGATTCCAATTTCATACCGGGAACAAACCCTTGGACTTTTGTGTCTTGTACCTGGAGCAAAATAAATGTAAATACATGTCAAGGAAAAAAGTTAACTTCCACTTTTTTTTCTCCACAAGTAGCTAAGTGATCACAAAGCTACAGAGATAGGAGAATTCTCCTGCATTTATATGGAATTATCTGACTAAATTCTCATGAAGTGAGTTATATTCTATTCAGACATAAAGAGTATTCTCCTTTGACTAAATAATATTCCCTTGCTAGTATATTACTCCAAGAAAACCCTGTAACAGTGGAGACAAAGAGGGTTTTCAACCCTGCAGGAAGCACATTCAGACCTATCACATTCCTTCTTTTGGGTGGATATCAGGCTTATCTATTCTTTGTTAAACCCTTTAACTCCCATGAGTGACCAAGAGAGAATTTCTCCTTAGAATGTCAATGCAATATCAAGCAGGTAAGTGATGAGAATAAAGAAAAGTAGCCATAAGGGGATTTTTAGTTGACCCAATACCAAATTCTCCAAACAAACATCATATGAGTTGTATGGCAGATAGTAAGGAGAATTACTAACGAGATCTTGAGAGTAAAAGGGTTAATGGGTTGTGTCTAGTACATGCAGTGAAAATGAAAAAGCATTTACAATTACTTGTACATCTACATGTATTAATGCTTACATGTTTAAATGTTTCCTTAGGAACAGCCTTAGCATGATACTTCTTTAAATATTCTTCCCAGGAAAAGAGCTCTTCATCTTCTTCATCTGACCCTGTAATAAAGAATGACATACATATCACTGCTATGACAGCATGACCTTTGCCCTTTACACCCTGACATCAGTATCTATATGCTCCACCCTGTTCTTCATACATTTCCTGTAGAGCCAGAAAGGAGAATTAATTTAACAAAAGCTTCTTTTAATGGCGATCATTTCCTTAATTCTCATGACCTTCCTTTTTTGATTCACAAGTGAAACTGCAAGAAGAAATTAGAAGCTAGTCACTCCAAGGTTCAACAGGTAAATGAATCCACCCAAAATTCACAATGAATAGCAAAGTTGTGCACAACTACAGCAGTTCTCTAAGCTGGATTTTTTTGGTTGCGAAGCCAGCAGCCAAACTGTGTTTCACAATTCCCCATGAAGCTTTCACATTCTAGATACAACTTGTATAAATGGACCATATACATGTATAATGGATTAACTGGGTACAAGGTTTTCCCCCTTTTGGTGCTAGTTTAAATTTTCAAAGCTCTCTAATATCTCACAATTTATAATTCAAAATGACATTTTTCAGAAGGTCCATTCATTTCTGATGATGATGATGATGATGATGATGATGTAGCATTTATTTACATGTGGAGCACTATCCATGCTTACAGCACCACTCAAAAGTAAGTTGACAGTCTTGACTTGAAACTTGATCCTCTATACTTAAAACTATCGAGAATCGTTGCCCAAGGCTTGAGTATTGAGAATCAAGGATCAAGAGGCTCAGAGAACTTTTCCAGGATCTTGAGTGCATTTTTGAGGAAACTATTTATTTCAAGCAGGCAAAACAATAGACGAAGATAAAGCACTTGACACCCAGCTTCATGACACGAAAACTGCCTGCATGTATGCAAATACTTTCATTCCAAACAGGACTTGCTGTATGCTCCAACATGCTTTACAACACCTTGAAGGGGGACTTTGACCAGGCTAAGTTGAGCAGCTTACAATTATGCAGCTGCCCCCCCAACGACAGACCACAACACCAAGAACTAGGTTTCCCACTCTCTGGGAGATGTGAGTGGGTTCCTTAACTTCCCTTACTAACCAGTACAGAGAGAATAAGGGAGAGAGGAACCTACATGTACTGTATACATCATTGTCCTCATCCAAAAATACTAGAACATGAAACCATTTTCAGATGTAAAAGCAAAGGCAGCACTTTCTCCTCAGTTAGAGTATATTTTAAGACCCTGAGTGTTGCACCAGTCTGGGATTGATCCCTTAACCCTTGAAGTCCTACTAGTGATCTAGAAAGAATTTCTCCTTACACTATCAGTACAATATCAAGCAGACAAGTAATGAGAATAAAGAAAAATACCAATCAGGGGATTATTGGTTGATCCAATTCCAAATTCTCCAAATTAACATCATATGAACTGTAAGGCAGACAGTAAGGAGAATTACTGATAAGATATTGGGAGTTAAAGGGTTAACCTCCCCCACAACAGTCTGGCACTCTACAACATGAGCTACTAGGCAGCTAAAATGACAACATAACCCTTGACCTTACCTGATCCATTTTTTAATGATTTCTTTGCATTCCTAGCAACATCCTCTATACTTTTCTTTCGTTTGCGAGTCGCAAGATCTCTGTCCATCATTACTTCATCCTAAATCTTCTTCACTACAATGTCATGATCACTGCCTGTTGTGCATGTAATGACCTGGAACAATAAATAGAGTCAGACCTGTAAATCAAGTGAGGCCAGGTATGCTACGATAATTTGGTTTTCCGAGCTTTTGCCGATCTACGGCATCATCAGGGAACGTAGATGGATGATAGGGGTTAAACAGGGTCAAGAATTAATGAAATATTCCTGTCCATCAGAAGTTTTGAAAACAATAATTATAAATCAGAGATTCAACACAGTCACAATTTAGTGTCAAAACATGCTAGGATATTTGTCCACTGCAAGAAGCAAACAGTTTTCCTATACTGAAACTCAAAGAAAAGTGTTAGCATTAGCATATTTCACACCAAATAGTGGCTACTGTGTTTATAATCTGTCAAATACACTTTTTTTTTAAGAGCATACAGTACAAAATGTTCAAAATACCTTTCCCTATAAAAGAGATGTTGACTTTTCTGGGTGACCATAATTATAAAAAACAATTTTATTTCTTTTCTGAATCAACAACAAAACTTTCTACTAATTTGAAACCACTCCTAATGGAAGACAATTGGTGCATTAGATGCCAGGATTGGAAATTGGGAAAGATCACTGCAGGAATATCTCCAGTAATAATCAAAAAAAAATATTTTTGCTTGTGCCCGATTGTTCAAAATGCATCACATGACTGAATATCCCCCAACTAAAACTGGAGATATCCAAGGATATACCCCATGTCATATTCCCCAATTTTGAAACCTTGCGTCTAATACAGAAAACTCTGCATTTCACTTTCATTCAAGATGAGAAAGCATTGTGAGGTTGTTACAGAAGAAGGAACATATTAATTTATTCATAATCATACTAGAGAACAACAAAAAGTAACCATCAGACACCATAAGCCGTTAGCTGTTCGCTAACATTTTTTCCTGCACCTTTGAAGGATAATAACCACAACAACCTTCATTTGGTGCAAAAATATGCTTGTACATTTGTTCTTGGAAATTATCTATTCCTCAAAGCTCACAGTTTTCCTCGAGCTTCACTCATGGAAAACCGCTCACATCTTGGAACAGAAAATGTCCTTGGGAAAATATCCGTGCACATTTTTGCCCTAAGTAGAGGCTATTGTTTACATACTCCATAGTGGTATTGTACAACTCTGACTGGGGAATACTCTGTTAAATTGCGTTTCTACACCAATTGCATTCATGCCGGAATATCTGATGTGCTACAATGTATGGATAGTTTAATCTATGTTTAATAAGACTTTTTTTCCAGAATGCAGTCAAAAGAACACAGATAATAGGCTATACAGTGAAGCATGTTCATACGCTGTAGCGAGAAAGAATTTAATTAAAATCACATGCACATTAAAGCTGACAGTTAAATTGGCTATGAATGAAAAGAAATTGTTTTAATCATAAAAATGTTACCAAAACAAATTACATAACCTGTACTTTCTAGTAAGAAAAATCAAAGAAGTACATAAACCCACCAGAATCAATACCTACTTGCGTTAAGGATACCCACTCTGGAACAACAAATCAAAATCTTTGTGTTAATCAACAGAAGATGAGAACTGTCATTGGAAACCGCTTGTAGTTACAACTTAATTTGACAATGTGAGGCAACATTGAGTAATTCTGGTGAAAATCAGGTACTCAATTTGATTTCCCGCTACAGTGATTGTGACCAATAACATATGTTTCCCATGTTTTTGAAACCGAACGCGCCATATTACAGACAGCAACGACGCGACGCGATTAATTCATTGCGTCGAGCAAAATTGAAAGTACAAGAGTCAAATCGACCGCAGTATTTCGGATCAGCATAAATTACCGGTATATAATATGCATTAGACCCCTGATTTACGATATTAAGAATCTAAGTTTACATAGATCGTTTGTAGCGTGAATTTCAACAACAGTTTTACGCATGCATGTGAGCTAGCTCCAAAATCGTTGGAAAATTGCTGGAAAATCACGTCTCTAATAAAAACATTTGCCTCGATCGTTGAGAAAAGAAATTTCTGATTTCACGAATCATCTCTGCAATATTTAAGCGAGGGTTAAGTTTGTTGCCTATAAAACTTACCGCGAGAGACGGGATTATTCACGACTTTTCCAGCTTAATCAAGGATGCACTTAGTGCTCAAACAACCTCAGATGTCTTATACAGACCTGGCTGCTCAGCTTAGATAAATATTGCGTGGTTACACGGTTCATTGATTCGTCGCTATTCCCAGTCTCTGCTCGTGAGAATTTTTCAGGTTTATCCGGATGATGTCTAATGGTCTCAAGAACCTTTCAGATTAACAGATGCACGTGTCGCAAACAAGGTTATTCCCTCTTTTTGGTCGATAAGTTAATCCGACAGCTTCTAACACAAAACTGAATAAAAGGGCAATAATATTTCAGTCACACTTTTCTCTTGGATATGAAGACATACTCTAGCTT